TATATATATATATATTTTGTGTGTGGCGCATACGCGCGCGTGTGTATGTGTGTATACATACATGCGCGCTCTTATATATGGATTATACTATGGTGGAATTAGATCATCTAATTCCACCATGGATTATACAAAGTTAGTCTTTTCCCAATCATGTACGCACAGAATGCCCTCTATTTGTCTTCTGATTATAAATGAATTATCTACTAACAACAGATAGAATTCGGTTAGACACACTACTAATGCACTGGTGCATATTAAAACCGCTGAACACACTAATTTAATTTAGGTGTAAAATAAAATGTAAATTATAAAAAAAAATTATATATATCTAATAACCAATTAAGAATTGTATTTATTGTTCATTGTAAACACAATAAAGAATTTAGAAATAAAATAATTCAGTATTGAGAATGTTGCGGTTTAATATTTATCCGTTTCTATATTTATATTAAACGCATATATTAATCTTTACGTTAATTTATGTATGACGGATTTAATGTGCATCAATGCGCACTAGCAAAATATCCAACTAAAATCGCTAAGAGTTACATTTTATTGTGAATGTTTAATAAAAAGACATTAACAACTTAAATTGTAATATATATTGATTTATGCGTATTAATGTAGCATTTGCGGTTTTAATAAGAGCAGAAATTCGTGCCATATAGACAGATGGTTGCAATATGGTATGCTCCAATTAGATAAACTTTTTAAAGATAAAAGATTATTGTACATGTGATTGAAGACTTTTTATAAAAAATGACAAATGAAAAGAGTTTTCAATTAAAAAATATCTACATATACGTTATATGACACTATAAATGCTACTAGTAAGCACCATTTGTAATTACAAAAGAGATAAGACGAAGTACCTTAGAAATCATTCTTTTGATATTTAAAAAAAAAAGAAATATTCTTTTATTCAGAAAAGAGAGGACACACAACTTCTTTGAATCTGAAATTTTTATTATTGTTATATCGAACTTTTTTATATTGAATCTTTGTTACGCTGCGTCTGACAGCTGTTCGATGAATGAAGTTTGTAATATAATTTAAGAAGTCTTCCTAGTAGTTTTGAATTCTTTTGTGAGTTCCCAGCACACTTTATCCCAGAGATGTTCCTGCGAACGTTCTCAGAAAACTAAGGCATTCTCAGAATGTTCTTCAGAACGTTCCTTGGATATCTGTGTTATATGAATTATTACTATTTATAAATATATATATATATATAATATATATTTGTATTATTTTATACGCTTTGTTATTATTATTTTTTAATTCTTACTATTGTAAAGGTATTTTTAATGTTGATATATAAATAATATATTGCACGTGTAACTATTATTACAACTAATGAGATGTGATTAATAAAATCTGTTTTCAATCTATATATATATAGTAAACAAATTCTGTGATGTTTATCTGTTGGCCCCACACTATATAAATATTTATTCACTCATTCGATGGCGAAACATCCCAAAGTCGGGATGGGGCCTCCCTACTGAAAAAAATCATGTTACAGTTATATTAGGTTAAATAAAAAGTCATCGCGTTTTTTTAAAAGACATCTATCAATAAAAACCGCAATTACTTTCTTACCAACAATATAAATATATCTTAATAGAGTAAAGTTTCAGCTTTAAAAATCTCTTTTTTTAAATTATACGATACGACAATTTTTAATGGAGTTATGAACAATTAAAGTCAAAATAATTCTTTTATTTAATCCGCGATAACTCAGTAATCAAAAGTCGTAGGAATATTTAAAAAAAAGATTTTGTAGGGAAAGTATCAAGCTTTCACGATAGGTAATCGAAAATTTTCTCAAATTCGTTTTGGACACGTTACAAATCCACAAAGTGAGAAGAAAATTTTTCGTCTTTTTCAGCTCGTAGTTTTTGGTATGTAAAAATTATCAAACTCATATAAACTTAAAAAATGTGATAAGCTTTTAAAAGTAGAGATTTCAAGCTTTAAAACCCTTTTTTTAAATTTGAATTTCATTCATTATTGACGAAGATATTGTATATACAACTTTGAGCTAAAAAATACGCGATGACTTTTTACTCAACCTAATATAACGAAATTATCTAATTAAAACAAGTAAATCACATATCCGATTATTTCAAATCAGTATATGATTTTTTAAAATTACATAATTTGAAAAGTCAAATGATGATATATTCTTTTTCTTCTATTTCTATTATTCAATTCTATAATATTTAATAAGAACGCAGATACACAGATTTACGGAACCTACAATTTAACGTCGATCCCGAACGGCAGTTTAAGAGGTTTTCTTGACAATAGATACTCTTAGTTTGAAGAGGAGTTAGGAACGCATGAAAATTTGTTGGATTTGCCGGGGATTAAACACAAGCTCTTAAGCATGGTAGACTCGCGCATTGTCCACCATGCTATGCTCGTATTACATAAATATAATTTTTATATTTTCTGCTATACAATGTATTATTTAATTATAATATACAAATTTGGTACATTCACACAATTGTAAAAAATACATTCTTGACATTATGTATTTTGTTTGTTGTTATGAACACATACTTAAATAAAATTTATATGACATTATTAAAAAATATCTGATCGTTATCATTGTAATACACACACTGTAGATTTCGAGGTGGGAAAATGGGGATGGAACGCAATTGGGAATTGTTTTTTAGTAGGAAATCTTTTTACGACTTTTTGTATTGAATTTACATCTACTGTGTCACCAATTTCAGCGATGATGATGGGTTTATGAAAATCTTGATCCGTTCTTGTTAATCGAACACCTAAAACTTGAGCTGCCAAACCTGCTAGGCATAAAGATACCTGAAAGTACAATAAAAGCTCATATTGATATTAATAACATATTGATAAAAAAAATATATAATATACAGTGAATAAAAAAAATTGTACAAGAAAAATATTTTTTTAAAAATCTTATTTGTAAAAATAGACATTAATTAGCAATTTATTAATAAAGAATAAAATAGATGTACTTCTTAAATTTATTTTATTTCTTAAAATTTGTGTAAAAAATAGTAATTAAAATATATTATTTTATAAATAAACTAAAATGATAAATTATATTATTTAAAACAAAAGTACAGTCGAGTTTAGAACATATTCATAGTCTGTTCTTATTTTAAGATTGTCTTAAAGATGTCTTAAGATGCTAATACGGCATTCTTGGATTGATCTTGATGTTTTAAGATTGAACTTAAGACAGTTCTTATAAATAGAATATCGGTTTTAATTTTTAAGATTAGGAATACGAAAGCTCTTTTATTTATATGTATAAGGACAGAATGTGTATTCACTAGGTCTGTTTTCTGTGGCTAAACCAATATACATTTTTAAAATTCAAAATGAAATAGATACATGTTTAATATTTGACAAAAGTGGAAAAGAATGTTCTAGTATTATACAGGAATTAGAAACAGATCTATTCTATTTATAAAATTAACTGCTAATTGATATTTATTTTTTACAAAGAAGTTTTGATAAAAATTTCTTCTGTACGAATACTTTTTGCACTCTCTATTTTTTGTCTGGTGTATATATATAATTATAGAAATAAAATTAATACTCATTGAATATATACATATACGTATACACATATACATATATACATACACAGTAAAGTCCAAAAGTTCCGGTTAATTATCTCAGAAAGTTTATTGCAAAAATGTTTCAAACAAAGTTATAGGGTTTAAAAAGATTTATTTAATTAATCTTATCAGTTTGACCTTGAACGTCACTAATGTCAGAGCAAGATTTGAATTTTTTAAATGGAAACTTTCCATTTTTCATTACATATTCTCGAAACTTATCTTAAGAACTTGTCAAAACATTGTGTTATTTTATAAACTTTTTTTTAATTAAGTACTTTTTGAGTTATAAGGCTTGAGTTATAAGAAAGTTACCGTACCACCATCATTAGAGTATTACCCAAGGTATCCGACTGACGCACGCGCGCGCACAGTGGTTTAAAATAAATAATTAGATGGACAAAACTAAAAAAATGAATGATAAGATTAAAACATTTTTAACAATTATTTATAAACTAGATACCTTAATTAAGAAATTTCTAGAACCATTACGAAATATGTTCGCATAAAACAAAAGATATCGAATTACAAAGATGCGCTTTTATAGTACACTGCTTGTACAGTAATAATCAAACACACAGCTTATTACGAACTCTTATGTTAAATGAATATTGTTCTTCTCTTAGCCTGGAATCTGAAAATAATTGTTTTTATAATGAATACTTTTCAGACAGATATATATATATATA